ATTGCCAATTAACGTTACTGATCAGCTGATTGTCTCAGGGGAAACACCTCATGTCTCTCGGTGAATATGGGCAGCTTCAAGCTAAAGCTATCAAACAACAGCTTTAATTTGCATCGCTAAAGTCCGACAAACTTAAGTTAATTACCTGTCCAGCAGAAAACAGGCAACTTCAGCTCTGAAAACATCTGTCCCACATTATAGCCTTCCATCTGGGAAAATCCACAACATCTGTGACTTCTGTATTTCCTTTTCCTCATTGTACGTGTCTACAATGCTGGAATTATGCAGAAGAAGAAGGCTGTGATGACTAAACGCGCTCTGTAGCGCTGTGCCCGCGGTTATGTAGATACAAATGGCTCATTCTAAGGTAATAAAAACATAATGGTTCATTATGTAAGGTCTTTATACACCACTGAAAAAAGGTTAGTGAGAAGTTATGGATATTATATTACATTTCAGTCAATAAATCCTCAGAAATATTACACACTGAATCTTTAAAGACCTCTAAGAAAACTAGAACCACACTGAAATTCCAATGCCTTTATTTCCATCACCAAGCACGTTCCTTCTGCACAAATGTCTGGTGAATAAGAGGTTCTATATAAATCAGCATGATATTCAAGATTAAAGATAGCCATAAATAGTACAAGGAAATATAAACAGTACATTTTAAAAACGCAACTAAAACTACATGCAGATTACACTGCAATGTAGTGCAAATTGGACAGCAGTGAAATATGACTTGACATGTACAGGAAACATAAAAATAGACTATGTGGAGGTTAAATTTACCAATGGCTGTCAAAGCTGCTGAGTTACATAAGCTGTGCATGCCATGTTATGTAATGAGCGAACCTACGATGCAGCTGTTCGATGCATTAAAGGTTCAGTGTGTAATATTTCTGAGGATCTATCTACAGAAATGCAATATAAGATCCATAACTATGTTTTCAGTGGTGTGTAAAGACCTTACATAATAAACCATTATGTTTTTATTACCTTAGAATGACTACATAAACACGGGCACCCCCTTCCATGGACGTTGCCACGTTGCATCGTCATGTTTCTACAGTAGCTGAAAACGGACAAACAGCGCTACAGAGCGCATTTCGTCACTACGTTCTTCTTCTACTTCTGGTAGAATTCAGACAGTGCAGAGCGCATCACAACATTGAATTTGTACGTTCAAAGAAGAAGAAATATACAGCAAGGGTTGGCAAATAAGCTTTACATCAGAGCAAATTTTGCGCTGCACTGTTTGTGTTTCGGTGTTTGATCCACATCCATCGACCTACAGACGCTTTTTCATTTCCCCAGTATCTCCAGGCAGAGAACATTTAGGGGAATCTTGCTCTCTGACGGCTCTTTCAGAGCTGTGTCAAGCAGCTACAGACTCTTTTTAAAGTAAAAGCTCAGTTCAACTCCAAATTCCAGCATTACAGTAAACAAGCTTCTCGCGCTTTTTTGTTGGCAGAACCACTAAAGAGGAGTTGATTGTGTGAGTAACTGTCGCTGTCATGACTGAGATCTATTTCAGCAGCTATCAAAGTATTTATTTATTTATATTTTTTGCCCCTATCAAAGCACCGTAATCTGGCAGCGGGCCAGATATTGTTGTTGGCGGGCAGTTTTGGCGAGGGTCCATAATCGAAGAGAGAATGAATATGTTTCCCTTGTCAGTGTTTGTATAAACTTTATCTAATGTGTGGTTTATTAAAGACTGTAGTGCAGACTGGTTTTACTGAATAATTAAGTAAATATAATTTCTTACTAAATATACCTAAAGAAACCTCATTTCTTGACTGGCCTCTGAAGAGACACCTTTTGTGCTGTGTCAGCCACTGTAGCTGTCCTACGCTCTTTGAAAGGTTAGAGGGCAGTGGTAGACTGGACAGTTGGTTGCAATTCACAACACTCACCACTAGATGCCATTAAATCTCACACACTGAACCTTTACAATGAAAACTCACCCAAAGTTAATGTAATTATATGCCATGGTGTCATACATACTTTTTTTTGTAGAAATTGATATTCTACGTAATTTTGCAGAGCATATACATTTGTTTACCGTGTGTGCTGTGGATAGATTGTGTGTAAATATGCCTAGACGTATTTAGAAGTCTAGATTTCTGCCCAGACATTACAAACTCTATGGACTGTACAGAATCCTTTGTGTTCCAAGGAACCAAATCCAAATACTGGATTCTTACTGGCTGAGCCCCTCACAAGAGTGCAGGAGCTGCTTGGACTGCACTTGTGTTGTTCCTTACATTGAGTATAGTGCCTCACTGAGCTTTATCAAGACTAAAGTCCAACAGCACAGCTCATGAATGTAAGTTTTTTGCTGGTTCCTGTAAGCTAAAGTGGCAGACAGTTACGGTAATTATGATTTAGTGTATTTTTGCTTGTCTTAGTTTCTGCCACTGCATGCTGAGTCAATAATTGTAATTTATCGGGCCCAAAGTCCAGGACCACGGCCACTGAATGTAAGTTAACTGCTGGGTATTGTGTGATTAATGCGTTTGCATTTGATGCCCTGAGAAGAGAACAGTCTGGTATTCTATGCTGCTTCAGCTGGCCCACTGGATCGTATGTAGTTGCATCATATGTAGCTGCAGCAACCTTAGATACCTTGCTCTCCTTTTTCTCTTTCTCTCTTCATGTACATGTAGACAGACACTGTACAGCAATTGCGGACCAACTGTGTCCAACAACTGTCTGGAGAACCAACCTCGCGCTTGATTGGGGAAACCGGAGCACCCGGAGGAAACCCACCCATGTAAACCCCACACAGAAAGGCCAGGATTCAAACCCGGGACCTTCTTGCTGTGAGGCCACAGTGCTATCTTCTGGCTTCTTTATGTGCATATGTCACCGGGATGACGTGTGTGTGTGTGAGAGAGAGATTGGAGCTGCATATGGTCACGCCCCCTCGTTAGTGGTGAATGGCTACCGGTGTGGGAAGTCTTGGGGGAAGGTTCTTCTTTATAAGAAGACGGGAGAAACCCGGAAGGGGGAACACGGCAGCAGGGAAGAGTGGAGCCGACGGCAGGACGGCAGCTGCACCCAAGGCGGCAAGCTAGAGAGACGCGGTGGTCACCACGCATGATGTGAGGCGGAGAGTCGACGGAGACGAGACAGGGACCGAGGTGGACGTCGGAAGCGAGTCCACCACACTGCCGAGCAACCCTTTGGGTAGACGCAGCGGCCCGGAGTCAAGACAAGACGCCTCGGAGTAACTGGAGTGAGGAGTGGCCTTTGTGGAAGTGCGTGGGGGAGGACGCCATCAGAGACACGAGGAGGGGTCGGAATTCGTTCCCCCCTCCTTCCCTGTAAGTAACTCTCCCACGCCTCTCTGGTTGCGATTATCTACTGTCCCCAGTGAATAAGCTGCCACTTTTTAGTTGGGTTTTATTATTTTTAGCATTTGGGAGGAACAAGCCAGTACGCTGCTGATTCTGGTCCTAATTTTAAAGCCCAATTTTTATGTATAACATGTCACGCCAAGAAGTCCAGTAGTTTTGCTTGGGTGTGTGGTTTTGGGGTTTTGATTTATGTTTTGCTTGCATTTTTTGATTTAGTTGTTTACTTGCATGCACATTTCTGTTTGTTTTATATATGATTAATTAACCCTAGCGGAATTGTGGGGAACTTTGTGACTGCCAAGCATCCTGTCACCTAGGTTACTGCTGACTTCTACTGAGAGCAGGAACGAGCAGCGAGAGCAGAGGAAGGGAGTTGGTGGGCTGATGGACTGGAAACTGGGATTTTAAAGACCAAATACTGAGGACCGGACAGATCAAGGCTTGCCCAGTGACTTTTATTATGAGTTTTTATTGTGAACTCTTTTTATTATTTTTTTAATAAAGACACTGGCGTTGGTTTTATAAACTGTACTGGTCTGAGCCTTGTGGTGTTTCGGTGAAGCCCGTTCCCCAGCAGAACCTTACCCAAATTAAGTTTGAATTGTTTCTTTGAACTAGCCGACCAGCAGCGCGGCGGTGACACATACACGTTTGGAACCCACAGACAGCTTGCAGCCTCCACGCCATCTTGGTGAGGACAGATGGAGTGCGTTCTCCAGTGTTTTGCTGAATGAAATTCTGTATTAGATTGGGGAAGTTACACTACAGTAGCCCCAGCCAAGTTCGTTGATCTGTGCCAAACACTCCTGTCATCTTATTATGTTGGTCTATTCTGTACATGCTAAGCCCCTTTTCCACTGCACGGTACCAGCTTGCCTCACCTCACCTCACCCTGCCTCGCCTTTTTTTCTGAGTTGAAGAGCTCCGCAAGTGGCGGAGGGGTAAGCCTGCACCAACCCGCGGGAGGAGCTTGCGAGGCCGGCCAGCCGCCCGCTCACAGAGCCCTCTGGTCCCACTGACACACAGATGACTGCAGCAACAACAGCAGAGGAAAACACAGGTGGAAGGTTTTCACACGGCTAATCTGTCTCAACATTCTGAGGAATGTTGAAATGTTTTAACTTAAATCAAGAGACAGCTGTGTGAGTCACGTGTGTGTGTGTGTGTGTGGTATTGAAGATTACCTCGCGGCAGTTGTGTGTGGCGTCGCTATGAAAACCAGCTACACTGAGGGGTACTATCTCTGGGTACTATATGTAATGGAAAACGGAGCACGGCCAAACCGAGTCAAGTCTAGGCGCGTTGAGCTGTTACTGGTAATGGAAAAACGGCATTAGTCTAGTTCTTAAGGAGGGATACCTCTGCTTCTCTACCTGAGCTTTCTAACATTTTTCCCTATTAAAGATTTGTCTTTATCTGAATCAAGGGTCTAAGGACAGAGGGGTTTTGTGTGCTGGATGTATTGTAAAGCCCACTGGAGGGAATGGTTCAGATAAATCCCATAGCTCACAACTCACTGACTGCATTGTAACACTACACTTCCTGTTTACCCCAAAAATGGGAATAGTAGTGCTAAAAACACTGAACTTATTATTTATCCTAAATCAAAATAGAGAGACCAGCTAGTGAACAGGAGACAAAACCCATAAAAATCAGCATTTTAATTTTGATTAAATATCTGTCCATCTTTTGATAGAACTAAATGTCAGAACCATTCATACTTCCATATACATTAATGTACAGATTTTTTTTTTACTGTGGAAATAATTCAAAGTAGACATATTCAAACTTAATTATGTGTAAAGCGTCCTTGGGCCTCATGAAAGGCGCTATATAAATATGTTATTATTCCAATGACAAATCAACAATCTCTAAATTATCAAACAACTACATATGTTTGATTATTTATATGCCTGTGTGTGTAACTTGATTTTATTATTTATACATAATTATTTATATGACGAAAAAGTTCACTAAATCTAAAATTTGCCCCATAAAACTTTAATAAAAGGACCCATAACAAAAACCCATAACAAAAACGTATGTCTTAGTCAGTAGTGTAGGAGACTCTCCCTTCTACAGTGAACACAAAGACACTGAGGAACCACACAACTCTAGTCCAAACCAGGATAAAGAGGTTCAGTGAATGTGGTGTTGAAGGTGTGGAGGTGGATCAATGTGTCAGAGGAGACTCGGTAGAAGGACAGAGTGCCAGCAGGACAGTCCACATACACTGCTACTCTGTTAGAGGAGGAGGTGCAGAAGGAGAAGGAGGAGGTGGAGCCCGTTTTTCTCTTTGTGAGACCATCAACATCTGAGCACCTCAGACTCCAGGACTGCTTATTCTGTCCAAACCTGCAGTCATCACTGTTTCCTCTCCTTCTGATTCCTTGTAAGTCACTGATATATCAACCTCTCCGCTCCACTCGACCTCCCAATAACAGCGACCAGTCAGACCATTTCTACACAGCAGCTGAGGCCAGTAGTCAAACCTCTGTGGATGATCAGGATATGGCTGCTCCTTTGTCACTACTGTCACCTTACTGTTGTTACCAGACAGTTTGAGGTATCTGTGTACTGTGTTTGTGTCCAGTGTGAGTTCACATAAATCTGATGGAGAGAACGAGACACAATACAGCAGCAGTTAATCATCTCACACTCCTGATGGGTTTCTTTGTTGCTTTATTTACACTGTTAATTAGATCCAAACTTCAGAAAGACTCATCTTTTTGGATATTCTTTGAAACTGAGAACTGAATGTAGATACAAGCTTTTGAGTTAAACTAATTTAAAATGTGCTGTCTTCTTTTCATGAATCACAGTGAACACACACTTACACTTCCTAAGACCAGGTTTCAGTCTCTGCTCACCACCGTGTTCCAACCTGGAGGAAGAAACAAAGTCAGAATGAACCTTCAGAAGCTTCCTCATTAGTGATCTTCAGAGACCTTCCATCAGATCCACATTTTAATACAAAACGGACACGTTTCATACACAGACTCAAAAAAACCATTAAAAAAGACAAAGAAGACAAAAAACACTAAAAGGTAGAAAATATAATTTATAGCGTAGATCTAAAAGAAATCTTCATGTCAGTGGCCAACAGATACATTTTTGTCTAGGATTGAAAAGTATTGAGTTACTTTTATTTATACAGCCTAATATTACAACTTGATTTAGATAAAGAACAACCAAGGCAAGGCAAGTTTATTTGTATAGCACAATTTAACAACAAGGTAATTCAAAGTGCTTTACATAAAGCATAAAAGCAACAGGGAAAGTTTAAAAGCAACATCAAATATAATAAAATTTACAGTATTACAATCAGGGTTAAGAGTTAAATGGAAAATAATAAAAAGCTAAAAACAAAGAAAAAGAAAACAGGACAGTAAAAGTTACAGTGCAGTGTAAGTTATCAGTAAAAAGAAAAATCTTAAATATTTAATTAAAAGCAATGGTAAAAAGAAAAGTCTTCAGTCTTATAAACTAACAGCAGGATTTTGAAATCAATTTAAAAAAACAAAAAAAACAACATGCTTTATTGACAACTTTCTTAAAGAAAACAATGTACGGTATGCTTCTGGGACAAAACAATATATATATAAATATATAATATATATATAAATACCTGTTTTCTTGCTGGCAAAAATAATACTGCTTTGATAAGAATGATCTGCATGACAAGTTGACCACACATTTGACAAATAAAAACGTACCAAACCATATTATCAAACTGAATACTGAAAGGTAGCCCATTTTCTTGCTCCTGAACCACAGATGATTCATTACGCCTATCAACTGGGAAACGCTTTCACACCTTCTCACTGTTGCAACACAGTCAGAAAACACAGTCAGAAAATACTTTATTTAGGATATTTCATTGCCAAAAACATATGTAACTTATTGTTCAAAGATAAACCATATGATACATTTACCAGCTCCTACAATGACTATTTAACCGTCATGAATGAAGCTGGTTTCTTTGTCACTCTTCTGCATTCAATCTGAAATTATAGAACATTCCCATCCTGATGTGCCTCAACTTCATAAAGTCAACTTCATAAAGTCTTCTTCATGCACACCAACGTAGTTTGACCGACTCCTGTTTACATAAATATCAGATCTTAAACACAAGTTTGTCAACGTAAGGAAAACAAAAGGCAATTATTTACCCTGTAGTTAGATGTTGAGAGGACAGAGAAATTATTTATTATGGTGACAATTGGCAGAACAAGAAATCAATTCTTTGACAGACAGGAAGCCAATGTAAAGACCTCAGAACTGGAGTGATGTGATCCACCTTTTTGGTCTTAGTGAGGACTCGAGCAGAAACTTTCTGAATCAGCTGCAGCTGTCTGATGGATTTCTTAGGGAGCCTGTAAGGACGCTGTTACAGTAGTCGAGTCGACTGAAGATAAATGCATGGATACGCTTTTCCAGGTCCTGCTGAGACATAAGTCCTTTAATCCTTGATATATTCTTTAGGTGATAGTAGGCTGACTTTGTAATTGTGTTAATATGGCTTCTCAAATTCAGGTCTGAGTCCATGACTACACCAAGATTTCTGGCTTGATTTGTGGTTCTTAACATTACAGATTGAAGTCGAGCACTGACTTTCAATCGTTCCTCCCTGGCTCCAAAAACAATAACTTCAGTTTTATCCTTGTTTAATTGAAGAAAATTCTGGCAGATCCAATCGTTGACCTGCTCAATACAGTTACTCAGCGCCTGTATGGGATCATAGTCCCCTGGTGAAATGGTTATGTAAATCTGTGTGTCATCTGCATAATTATGGTAACATATTTTGTTGTTTTTCATAATCTGAGCCAGTGGAAGCATGTAAATGTTAAACAAAAGAGGTCCCAGAATGGAGCCTTGGGGAACTCCACATGTCATTTTTGTCAGCTCAGATGTGTGATTACCTATAGACACAAAGTAGTCCCTGTCCTTTAAGTAGGATTCAAACCAGTTTAGTACTGTGCCAGAAAGTCCAACCCAGTTTTCAAGTCTGTCTAGTAATATGTTGTGGTCGACCGTGTCAAATGCAGCACTGAGATCCAGTAATACTAAGACTGAAATTCTCTCTTCAAAAAAAGTCATTGAAGACCTTAACAAGAGCCGTCTCAGTGCTGTGGTGTGGTCGAAAACCTGACTGGAAGACATCAAATCAGTTATTTAGTACCAAGAAAGCACTAAGCTTTTGAAAAACAGCCTTTTCAATGATTTTACTTAAAAATGGGAGATTTGATATGGGCCTATAATTGCTCATTAGTGAACTGTCTAGATTGCTCTTTTTGCTCTTTTTTAAGAGTGGCTGAATGACTGCAGTTTTCAGGGCCTGTGGGAAAAAACCTGAGAGGAGAAACATGTTGACAATTTGTAGTAGATCTGAGGCCATGCATTTAGAAACATTTTTGAAAAAACCTGTTGGCAGAATATCAAGGCAGCATGAGGAGGATTTCAGATGTTATGTCCTCCAGGTTTTTATGGTTAATAGAATCAAATTGTCTCATGCTATATGAATTGTTTTGAAGTGGACACAGGGACAAGACATATCCTGTTACTGACATGGAGGCACTGATTGCTCGTCTAATTGTTTGAATTTTGTCTGTGAAGAAGGAAGCAAATTAATTGCAGGCCCTGGTGGATAGAAGTTCAGAGGCTACAGACACAGGTCAGCCTGTCGACAGCAGCAAACAGGGCACGTGCATTATTAGTGTTTTTGGTGATGATGTCAGAGAAGAAGGACCGCCTTGCATTTCTCAGCTCTAAATTCTAAATGCGAAGTTTCTCTTTATAGACGTCATAATGAACCTGGAGATTTGTTTTCGGCCACCTGCGTTCAGCTTTTCAACACTCTTTTTTGAGTTCTAACCAGCGTGGCATTTCTCCATGGAGATCTTCTCTTACCAGAGACCACCTTCACCTTGGCTGGTGCAATGGCATCAATAACATTTGTAATTATAGAACTGAAATTATCTACAAGCTCATGGACTGAGACCCGTAAGATGGCGAGTGTCGAGGAGAAAGCCTCAATAAATTTTGCACTATTTCTGTATTTGTGACACGTGTCAAACTTGGAGGACTTAGAACCGGTGGTGGAGGTGGACGGTGAGGGGGGTTTATGGTAGAGAAAATGGGAGTGGAGCGAGGGAAGGTGAGGGGAGTAAATTTGGTCCCAACTCTAACCAGGTCTTCCATGGATCAGTGAAGTCAAACAGGGGGGAGAGGGGAGAAAGTGTGTCTGAAGGTGGGGATTGGTGGGGTAGAGATGTTGAATCCTCACTGTTGGTTTTCAGTGAGAGAGGTGGAGATTCTTCCCACTCTGTCTCTCTGTACATCAAACACAGCTTATATAGGACATGTTTAGGTATCTGTTAGATACCATATAAGGGTCTGAGTCTGCAAACTAAGGCACCAATCCATATAAGGGCACAGTCCTATAGAATAAGTGTAGACATCTGTTAGACACCATATAAGGGTCTGAGTCTCCACATAACCACTGACCTCTACTCTCCCCTTAAAAGGTCACTAATCCTCTATCCAGCTGCTACAGTGCTATGTTAAACTGTTCAAATGCGTCAAATGCACATATGTTATACACCACAAAAGCCATCAATCTGTTTAATCTCTCAGCTCCTCTTCGGATTGGCAGTATAGGGCCACTGATAAACACCTCAGCACCTCAAGAGCTGACCGTGTTCAGACAACACTTCAGACTGTTGCTTCACAACATCATTGGCCCCGATATGTAGTATGATGTTTTATGATTTATTTATGATGTTCACAGTAGGATGTTCAGCCACGATATGCAGGATTCTTTCTGCCAAGTCAGACACCGTATCCTTCGTAAAACAGAGTGTTTTGGTGTTCTTACTGCACATGCTTCTTACATCGTTTACAGCAGAGTCACCCACAATCAGAGTTTGAGGCCCAGTCGTTAGCTTTCCCTGCAGCCTTTTACTTTCTGATTTACTCTCAGTCCTTACCCTTCTGTGTGAGGATGGGATGTTATCCAGGTCATCAGACGGAAATCCAAGATCCTGCAATAGTGGTGAAAATCTGTTCTGCTGTTGCACACTCGGTTGTTGGGGAGGTTTGTTGCTAACTCTCCATTTCACAGCTGTCCACGGCTGTGTCCTACCAAGAACAGGGGTTGAAGAGGCGCTCTGCCTGGATGATAATGCAGGTCAGCCAGTCGCATCACAAATCTCAGGGCGCCGGGTTCTGCCTGTTACTCGTCCTCCCATTTCCCCAGGAAATGATTTACTCTTAGGCTTTGCACCAAGAGCGTTTCAGGGATGACTCCCACTTTTAGATTTATTACCCAGTACACAGGCCTCCTGCTTCTTGGTAGTCTTGATACTGCTAATTAGCCGTGTGTTAGCATGCTCTTGTCCACTGTTTTGGGTCCACGGTAAAGTGGTGTCATTCCCACATAGTCCATTCACTTCCACATTCACTTCTAACCTGTGGATCTTGGTTTCAAGCACTGCAATTTTCTGTAGAAGTTGGTAGAAGTCGTCCGTGGAGAAAGATCTTGTTGCTAATTAGCATTAGCTATAGCTCCAGTCACTGCAGTACAGGCTAGTGCTATTGATAGGCCGCACTCGCATAGCACTAAGATCATAAAAGGTTTTAAAGTATGGCAAGAGCCTCCTTTATCTGACAGTCCCAGTGATTTAAAATTATCCAAGAGCTGCTGATTTCTAGCAGGGAAAAAAAAGAGAGTTTAAGCAAAAGAATGCAAGGAGAGGCAAGAGCAAGCAGCAAAGCGTCTGCACTGTAGAAAGCAGGAAAGCAGGTAAAGACAGGTATCAACGTTTGTCGATATTTCGATTTAAGAGTTGTTATTTCTGGAAGTCTCAGGATTCACAGTCGAGAAAAGGATCACTGACTGATGTAAAACAATTAGTCGTATCACACTGAAACTGAGTGCACATAGGTGCAACCAACTGTTGACATTTTCATAGCCATCAACATTGTCTGTCTTGAGTTTGAGCAGTTCCACTATCCAATTTCCCAACATGGCTGCTGACAAAACTCCCATTATTAACTGCAGTGAGCTTGTATTTTTCATCGTGTGGCTAAATCTGTAGTCTGACTGAGACTAAGTTGTGATACAAAACAGTTTTACAATTTTCCTACCACTTTGTGAATGAATATTACAAAGAGTACTGTCTAGACCTACTTCATATGAAATGAGCAATGAGATTTTAACTTTTGAATAACTTATGAATTGGCACTATATAAATAAAACTGAATTGCATCTAGAACAGAATGTGTTGTGGGTGTGACTAAATGATCAACACCCGCTCTTGGTTTCTGTTCATACCTGAGAGTGTCCAGTCTCCAGTGCGGATCCTTCAGTCCAGCAAACAGCAGCTTTGCTCCGGAGTCTCCTGGATGATTGTAGCTCAGGTCCAGCTCTCTCAGATGGGAGGGGTTGGAGCTCAGAGCTGAGGCCAGAGAAGTACAGCCTTCCTCTGTGATCAGACAGCCTGACAGCCTGGAGAATGGGGGTTAATCAATGTCATTATCATTGTAAATGCAAGGACCATAAGACACAAAAACACAAAACACGATCTACAAAAAGATTCAAAATCCACAAACTCTTCACAATCCACAAATAGAAACCAGTGACTTAAATGAAGATGGACCAGAGTCCAGTGGGCCAGCTGAAGCAGCATAGAATACCAGATGTGTTGCAGCAATGTAGCATACTGCGGCGTTTCATATGGACGCTGTGAAGTAATGCTTTGTCACACTGTCTGAAAGCATTGGTAATGACGCACTGAAATAACTATGTGTTGAGAATGCAAGTTAAGGGTGGATGATGCAAGGTATTAGGTGCGTTTGACTTCATGTGGCGCAGCGCTGACTTAACGTGATACATGCTGGACTTAAAATAAGGCATGCTAGTTAGAAGTTCTGTCTGGCGTTCGCTGGTGCAAGAAACCTCACTATGTCACATGACATTAAAACCTCACAGGAGCAAGACGGTTGCAGGCGCTGAGTCCGGCGGCTGCAGTTGCTTTTCTGCGACAGCACAAAGTTGGAACCACACTATTGCCTGGTCTCACCGCATTTTTCTTGTGTCCGACTTGACGGCGCCATTTTTATTCCCTGATCCTGCAGTCACCTGCTGCACATGTTAGACTATGAAGTCGGCAAAAGTCAACCGCAGTCATCTCGAACGCACCTATTGGTAATCAGCTCATGTGATGGAATGTTTCTGTTGCCGTTGCTGGTATAAATAGTTAACTGCCTCTCATTCATTTCCTTGGCACACATTGGACAAAAAATTACACATTCATAAAAGCGAAGTCATAAATGTAACGTGTTTGTGGATTGTCTTCTGTGGGTTAGAAATAATCAAGTCCAATAAAAATGTTGTCCTTTTCACACACTCACACATCCCTTTGCAGTTTAGTTAGATATTGTCTTAACCGTAATTCCCAACAAAGTAGTTTCCAAAAAAGAATAATGGGAGAATAATATTCACAGTTCAATTCTTCAGATGTTGGGTGTATTTTAATAGACACTAACAGAAGCTGAATGCTGACCTCACTGTCTCCAATGTACAATGTGGACTCTCCAGTCCAACAGAGAGCAGCTTCACTCCTGAATCCTGCAGATCGTTGTCACTCAGGTCCAGCTCTTTCAGACTAGAGGACTTGGAGCTTAGAACTGAGGACAGAGCTTCACAGCTTCTCTCTGACAGGTTACAGACACTCAGCCTGAAGGGCAGTTAAATAGATAGATAAAGACAAACACCAACACTGTTTCTGTCATCTACAATCTACAACACATCACATTTCTATGGTTCATCTTCAGTCAAGCATTAGGATTAGTATTAGAGGTGTTGAGACTTTTTTGGGTTTTCATTGTGTAAAATACTTAACAATTATAATAATAAAAATTTTATTTATAGGCACCTTTCTTTTTTTTCTTTTTATTTAAACCTGTCCTGCCCAGCAGCCTGGTATAGAGTATGATAAGCTGGATACCATATTGTGCCAGACACATTGTACTTTAACAAGAGAGTATTAATATACTCCTTCGTCTGTTTTATTATTTATTTAATTATGTATTGATTTGTCACCGGGCCGGACAGGGGGGCAGACATGGGGATGGGGGAGCACGAACATCACACAAACAGACAGCACAGAGAAAGGACAACACCTGCAAGAGAAGGGGGATGGAAGGTGGGGACAATAGAGAATAGCACAGGGAAATTGCAGACCAATTGCAGAAAGCAACAAAACCTGCAATAGAACGGGGAGAGGGGCTTGGGGAGGAGAAAAACAACAACAAAGAAACAATAAAAATAATAATAAATGACAACCAGCCGAACAGCAGCAATAAACAGCTGACATAGTAAGACAACTAAGAGAAAAATGAAAACAAGAAACAGTCCAGCACACTAAATAAGCAACACAGCACAGCCACGAGAGCTGGAATAATAACAATTAATTTAAATAAGTAACTGAAAGAAAAGCATCAGGAATAATTCTACCAGGGACAACCTAAATTTGTTTGTGTCTATGTGTGAGACTGTGTGTGTCTGTGTGTGTTTACATGTGTGTGCGCATAAGCCTGTTAAAGAATGTAGTTGTTAGTGAGAGTGGGACGCCACGACTGTGCCACACCTACCCCAGCAACAGGCAGGCAAGAACCCCAGTAGCCAATAGGGGTGGGAGATAAAAAAATAAAAAAATATGACTCCCAGATGCACCGCGATGCAAATGCAGAAGACCCCGACCCAGCCAACAGACACCCAAAAAAAATAATAAACATAAATAAATAAAAACGACCATCCCAATGCCAATTTACAATGCAATGCCGACGGAACTCAAGATGCATAACCCGCGGAAGAGCAGCGCCCGGACCGACTGCGGCGCAGCAAACAACCAAAACGGCCAAATGCCAATCATCAACACCAATGCACAAGTGATGAGCCCAACGTGCGCACTGCGCGAGCACGGTGACACCCAATGCCCGGCAGCAATCCGCGAATCCCGCGTGGGAGTGTGGTGTCCGAACAATAATGCTGCGATGATGTGTTGAGAAAAAATCCGCTTGACACTGTTCTTGATCATAAAAGTTTATTACATCAAGGAATTCAGCATCAATTACAAGCTCTGCAGCAGCTTGGAGAGTGACCCAGCCCGATGGCCACTCTGTCTCTCTGTACATTGAACACAGCTTATATAGGACATGTTTAGGTATCTGCTAAATACCATATAAGGGCACAGTGCTGTAGGATAAGTGTAACCATCTGTTAGACACCATAGAAGGGTTCAGTCCCTTCATACACACTAATCTCTACTCCCCCTAACACTGGGTCAGAGGTCAAATTCCATAGGAGGGTTCACTCTTTACACACCCATCAATCATTACTCCCCCTTAAGAGTTCACTGAGCCTCTCTCCAGCTGCTAGAGTATTATTTTAAACTGTAATGGTCAAATGCACATATGTTATACACCACACGAGGTTGAGCAAATGAGAGAGAGTGAGCGGCAGAACACGACAGCGAAAGCCCGCGGAGAGAAACACCAGCAGCAGGACCCAGCCCAGCAACAAACGCGCCGCATAATAAAAGTGTGCCCCCAACGGCTGGAAGGCAGCCGACATCCCCCATGCACAGCACACCCCCCAGGCCGCCGTACAACGCCATCCAAACCAGCAACGAGGCAAAATCAACTAGCTCAGCTGCATGCCACCACCAACCCACCCACCCGTCAAGCGTCGAGAACTCCAGGCACAAGCCCAGAATAAACCGGAGCACAGCCCTGCACTGCACCCACACTGCACATCCCGAAAACTAACTCTTTTTTTTGTACTTAAAGGGGTACTCCAGAGGGGTCTGACAATTGGCCAACAGAGAAATGGGGAAGCATGGATCTGAGGCCAACGAAGCAAACCAGGGACGCAAACTGGTCCCTCCAAGCCAACGAGGAAATGCCTTCCCCGGACTCCAATGCACAAACTAAACGCCCAGCAGCCATCCAGGGACCCTGCACAGTGAAGGAGGAAAAAAAACAAACAAAACAAAACACAATGCATCAAGATGCATCAACAATCACCCTACAATCCCATCACAGCCGGATCAACCCGTGCAGCGCCCAGAGACCCCCACCCCTACTAGCCAGGGCACCCCGTGACCCCCCAAAGTGCAAAGGACCCCAGACCGCATGTCCCAGGGAAAGCTGCGCCCCGCCCCAAGGAAGAACAGCAGAAAGCCGTGCCAGGAAGCTCCCCGCCACCAGGGAGCGATAATGCGGGAGAACCAGGCTGACAGTCCCCCAGCCCAGCTGGAGGCATCACCCCCCAGAGCGCAGGCAGAGCCAGCAGCCCCCGAGCCCAGTGAACCCAAGGCCGGTCCCGTCCCCGGATGGGGGCCCAGCACCCCCAGTCACCCACCCCCAAGGAAGAGGGCCAAAACCCACCCCGACAACCCCCCCAACAACACCAGCCATGTGCCCCAGGGACTCCCGAATGCCCCCACTGTGAGAGAGCCGGCAGGGGAAAGCAGCGGGAGCCCCACCCCTGCCGAGGAGGGCCCAGACAAGGAGAGGAGACAGGGACACACCACCTGCACAGAAATGAGCAAAAGCCAGAAGCCCGAGTCCCCAGACCCCCAGGTCCAGAGCGGGCCCCCACGCCAGGGGAGCCATGCTCCCCCTGACCCACCCAAGGTCAGGCAAGGCGGACACCAACCCCATGGCACCCCCAACGCCTCGGGGCTCCAGGGGCAGGACACAAGGCCAATGAGAATCCCCCCACTCCTTATAGGCACCTTTCTGAACACTCAAGGTCACCTCACAAAACATAATAAAACAGTACAGCAATAAATTGATAAAATTAATACTATAATTACACTGCTTAAAATCATGGTACATAACATCTGGAAACAAAGATTTCTGTGACCTGATAATTAGTGATTACGTGGGATATGATGTGTTTTCACACGGGATTTAAAAATGGAAAGCAAGTCAATGTTGCGGATGTCTGGTGGAAGAGTTCCAGTGACGAGGGGCAGAGCGGCCGAAGGCTCTGAACCCCATGGTGGTCAAACGAGCAGGAGGTACAGTGAGGTGAATAGAAGAAGAAGACCTAAGAGTATAGGTGGGTGTGTTAATATGAAGGAAGTCCGAGAGGTACAGAGGAATGAGGTTGTGAATGACCTTGAGGGTCAGGAGCAGAATTTTGAAATCAATGTGGTATTTAACTGGGAGCCAATGAAGCTGCTGAAGGACAGGAGAAATAGGATTAATAGAAGGGGTTCTGAACCAGTTGAAGATTATGTATGGATTTGAGAGGAAGACGCAAGTGGAGAGAATTACAATAATCAATGCAGGATGTGACCAGTGTGTGAATGAGAATGGCTGTACTAGTGGGTGAGAGAGATGGTCGGATGCAATTTATGTTAAGTGGATGAGGAGAACCTCGGTTTTGTCACTGTTAAGTTTGAGGAAGTTGCAGGAAAACCAGGATTTCATTTCCGGCAATCATAGAGTAAGGTTGGTGGGAGAGATGTGGTAGGTTTGGTGGATAGGTAGAGCTGGGTATCATCCGCATAGCAGTGGAAATGGATGTTAAATTTACGGAAGATATGGCCAAGAGGGCGCAAATAGATGAACAGAAAGGGCCTCAGGACAGAGCCCTGGGGAACACCAGTATTGACAGGGGATAGCTCTGATTTGAAATGTTTGAGTTGGATGAACTGTGTGCGGCCAGAGAGAGATGATTTAAACCAGTCCAAGGGTGTGTCAGTGAAACTAATAGAGACTAATCTGTCAAGGAGGATGTTATGAGAGATAGTGTCAAATAAATAACTAAAATGTAAACAATTATGGTCACATCTCTGGGATCCCAATAACTTGCACAAATTATTTTTAGCCTTAGTGTGGTCCAGTGTGTAATATTTCTGAGGATTTATTGACAGAAATGCAATATAAGATCCGTAACTGTTTTCAGTGGTGTATGAAGACCTTACATGATGAACTGTTGTTTTTATTAACTTCAGCCATTTCTATGTACATAACCACAGGTCCCCCTTACATGGAGGTCGCCATGTTTCTACAGTAGCCGAAAACAGCTACAGAGCGCATTTCGTCACTACGTTGTTATTTTTCTTCTATAATTCTGGCAGTGTATACGCGCGTCACTATGCTGAATACATACACAGAAGAAAAAGAGGAAATAATAATATACAGTCATGAGTAGTCGTCTGGTTTATTTGAAGTAAGAAGAGAAGTGCAATTTGGACAAATGGAGGAACACACGTATTATTTAGCACGAGCCGACAGTGTGCGGATCATTGCCATCAAAGTTTCCTGTTTTCTACTGGACAGGTAATTAAATTAATTTTATTAATGTTATTCTGTGTTTTGGCTTTGCTACGTAGACAAAAATGTTCGTGACACAATCAGCTGATTATTATTGGCAATAAGTGTACAGCATGGACGTTCTGCAGCTAAACTTCACATTTTACTGCCCTGGTGGAAAAAAAGTGTTTATTTTTTCTGCTAACTGCATTATGATACCAAGACCAATAATGCTTATACTTTCAGAATTTGCTTTTTTTGATTTAAATCATTTGTTTGTAGGCTATTGCTTCTGTCTATCTGCCTCCACCGGTTGGGGTGAAGGAGAGAGAGAGAGAGAGAGAGGGCAGGAGAGGAACAGAGAGAAAAAGAGAGGGATGGAAGGAGAGAGAGGGGAGGGAGGCAGCCTACACAATATACACAGACACAGAGTTACAGACAGTAAAGGTGATGTTGCTATAGACTAAATGAAAAATGGTACAGATATTTATAGTAGTGTTAATGATAACAATCGTAATGTTAATGATTATAATAACAATAATAATAATAGGACTAGTAACAATAGTCGTTGCAGTAGAGGGTGTCGAGCAGGAACACGGGGGCAGCAGGTGACCCGCAACCACAGATCCAGACTCCACAGCTCCAGAGCCAGAAACACCTGCAGGAAGTGATAGGAGGAGAGAGGAGAGGGACGAGAAAGCACAAGACTACCAGAAAGGGGAGAAGTTGTGTTAGTAACATGCAATAATGGGATTGCATACAGAGGGAGAGAAAGTAGAGGAGAGAGGAGCTCAGTGCATCATGGGAAATCCCCCGGCAGTCTAGGCCTATAGCAGCATAACTAAGGGATGGTTCAGGACTCACCTGAGCCAGCCCTAACTATAAGCTTTATCAAAGAGGAAAGTCTTAAGCCTACTCTTAAATGTGGAGATGGTGTCTGCCTCCTGAACCCAAACTGGAACCTGGTTCCACAGGAGAGGAGCTTGATAGCCGAACGCTCTGGCTCCTAGTCTACTTTTGGAGACTCTAGGAACCACAAGTAACCCTGCATTCTGGGAGCGCAGTGCTCTGGTGGGGTAGTAAGGTACTATGAGCTCTTTAAGATAAGATGGTGCCTGACCATTAAGAGCTTTGTAGGTAAGAAGAATGATTTTAAATTCTATTCTGGATTTTACTGGAAGCCAATGCAAAGAAGCTAAAACAGGAGAAATGTGATCTCTTTTCCTGGTTCCTGTCAGAACACGTGCTGCAGCATTCTGAATCAGCTGAAGAGTCTTAATGGACTTTTTCGAGCAGCCTGATAATAAGGAATTGCAGTAATCCATTCTAGAAGTAACAAATGCATGGACTAGTTTTTCTGCATAATTTTTAGACAGGATGTTCCCGATTTTCGCAATATTACGTAGGTGAAAAAAGGCGGTCCTTGAAATTTGCTTAATGTGAGACTTAAACGACATGTCCTGATCAAAGATAACTCCAGGATTCCTCACAGTGGTGCTGGAGGCCAGGGCGATGCCATCAAGGGAAACTATATCTTTAGATAATGCGTCACGGAGGTGCTTAGGCCCCAGAACAATAACTTCAGTTTTATCTGAGTTTAACATTAGAAAATTAGAGGTCATCCAGGTTTTAACATCCTGAAGGCACATTTAAAGTTTAGCTAACTGATGAGTTTCATCTGGTTTGATCGATGGATATAACTGAGTATCATCTGCATAAAAATGAAAGCTTATGGAATGTTTCCTGATAATAATGCCTAAAGGAAGCATATATAAAGTGAAGAGGATTGGTCCGAGGACAGATCCTTGAGGAATTCCATGAACTAACTTTGGCATGCATGGAGGACTCATTGTTAACATGTACAAACTGAAATTGATCTGATAAATAGGACTTAAACCAGCTTAGAGCGGTTCCTTTAATGCCAATGAAATGTTCCAGTCTCTGCAATAGGATCTGATGGTCAATGGTATCAAATGCAGCACTAAGATCTAATAAAACCAGTACAGAGACAAGTCCTTTGTCTGATGCAATAAGGAGGTCGTTAGTAATTTTCACCAGTGCTGTCTCTGTGATATGATGAGCTCTAAATCCTGACTGAAAATCCTCAAATAAACTATTGCTCTGTAGAAAGTCACACAGCTGTTTAGCAACTGCTTTCTCCAGAACCCTAGAGAGAAATGGAAGGTTAGATATAGGTCTATAGTTGGCTAAAACATCCGGATCAAGTTTGGGCTTTTTCAGAAGAGGTTTAATTACAGCTACTTTAAAGTACTGTGGTACATAGCCTGTTGATAAAGACAGATTGATTATATCTAGTATAGAAGTGCTGACTAAGGGTAAAAATCTTTAAGCAGCCTAGTCGGGATGGGGTCTAAGAGGCAGGTTGATGGTTTAGATGAAGAAAATATTGAAGTTAGTTGGTAAAGATTGAGGGAAGCAAAACAGTCTAAACATGTATCTGGTTCTACAGCTGTTTCTAAGGTTCCTGAGTTTAGAGATAAGTTGGTGCCAGTTGAGGGCAGGTCTTGGTGAATTTTGTCTCTAATAGCTAGAATTTTATCATTAAAGAAGCTCATGAAGTCGTAACTACTGAGAGCTATGGGAATACTTGGCTCAATAGAGCTGTGACTCTCTGTCAGCCTGGCTACAGTGCTGAAAAGAAACCTGGGGTTGTTCCTATTTTCCTCTATTAATGACGAGTAGTACGCTGCTCTGGCATTACGGAGGGCCTTCCTATAAGTTTTAAGACTATCTTGCCAAATTAAACAAGAATTTTCCAGTTTGGTGAAACGCCAATTCTTAAGTTTCCGCGATATTTGCTTTAATTTGCGAGTTTGAGTATTATACCATGGAGCTAACCATCTTTGTTTTAGTATTTTCTTTTTTAGAGGGGCTACAGAGTCCAGTGTCATTCGCAGCGAGCCTGCAGCACTATCAACAAGATGATCGATTTGGGAGGGACTGAAATTAGCATAGGAGTCCTCTGTTACTTTGTGACTTGATAATGAATTTAGAGCTGATGGAATCGCATCCTTAAATTTAGCTACAGCACTATCAGACAGACGTCTTGTATAGAAATTTTTGCCCAATGGCGTGTAGTTCAGCAATACAAACTCAAAAGTTATCAAACAGTGGTCAGACAAAGAGGGATTCTGTGGGAACACCACTAAATGTTCAATTTCAATACCATACACCAAAACAAGGTTGAGGGTGTGGTTAAAACAGTGAGTCGGTTCATGAACACTCTGAGGGAAGCAAATGGAATCTAAGAGAGAGATAAACGCAGTACTGAAGCTGTCATTCTCAACGTCCACATGAATATTAAAATCCCCTACAATGATAAATTTGTCCGTTTTAAGGACCAAAGTTGACAAAAACTCTGCAAATTTAGATAAGAATTCAGAGTACGGGCCAGGTGCTCGGTACACTATAACAAAAAGAATTGGTTGCAGTGATTTCCAACTTGGGTGTGAAAGACCAAGAACAAGGCTTTCAAATGAGTTATAATTTAGTTTAGGTTTAGAGCTGATTAGTAGGCTAGAGTGGAAGATAGCTGCAACTCCACCTCCTCGGCCTGTGCCTCGAGGAATGTGAGTATTAATATGACTGGGAGGGGTGGATTCATTTAGGCTAACATATTCTCCATCACCCAGCCAGGTTTCAGTAAGACAAATAAATCAATATCATAATCTGATATTAGTTCATTTACTAGTACACCTTTAGAAGAGAGAGATCTGATGTTTAAGAGTCCACATTTAACTCCTATTCATTTGCACTATTGCTCTTGTGGTTTTAATTTTTATGAGGTTTTTATGCACAGCTCCTCTTCTGTTTACCTTTTTAAATAATTTCAATGGTCGGGGGACACTATAGGATTTTCACTAAGTAACTCCTGAAATGGAGGAGCAGAGAAGTGTGTTAGACTGCGACTCTGCGTAGGGTTTTGGGTGCTCATTGCTCATTAAAAATGTTGCACCGTTTACAAGCTGAAATTATGGATATTATTACTACTTTGTGTTTCTGCCATATTTCAAAAACTTTAAAAAGACATTTTTGTAAGATTTGCAGTTTGCTTATCTTACTGAACAAAGTGGAGAAGAGCCTTGATGCCCACCTGACAATGCCCTTGTAAACTTCATGTCTAATGTGGTTCATAAAGGGCTGTGGAAAAGAAACAGTGAGGCTTAAAGAGGTAGTATTATGCTCATTTTCACATTCAAAATCTTATTTAGGGGTTGTACCATAACAGGTTTACATGGTTCGATTTTCAAAAAAGACCATATTTTCTTCATACTGCACAGTGCTGCAGCTCCTCTTTTCACAGTGTGTTGAAGGCTTCATTTTAGCTATGGAGTCATACATCTTGTCTCTACATCATCTTTGTTGGGAGTTGCACATGCACAGTTCCTAATTAAGGACCACTAGCCAATCAGAAGCAGAGTGGTGAGTTATTAATCTGTAACAAAAATATCTTTCATCCATAGTTTTAACTGAGCTCTGTCTCTACATCACAGTAACAACTTTATGTCCGTTGACTGCATGGAGGGTAGCTAGTGTTTGGAAGGGAGAGGTGATGTGTACTGCAGCTCAGTGTTTTTCCACCGGTGTTTTTGAGGGCATGTCAGACTAGCCACTTGGCGAGCGTTCTATGACGGCTGGACTACAAATGAGCTGTTTTCAGACAGTTAAGAGCAGTGTTTTCTGTGAGAGATGGGAAATCCCTTTGGCGTGGACTTGCAAAACTATTACATGCACAAAAAAGAAATATAACTCAATAAAGGAGAGGGAAAAGGCCAAGAAGCATAACACCACCTCTTTAAGAGGTTTGTTGCAGTTTGTCGCAATTCGCAACCTTCATCACTAGATGTCACACTTAACCTTTATATGAACTACAATGTAACTAATTGAGTTTTCACAAGAAACGGCTGTACTAAATATATGGATGTACAATGAAACTGAATAAACAATGTGCATGTTTTTTAACTGATAATTGAACTAATTTTTTGACTAAATATATCAGTTGACTAAGACATTCATTAGAGAACCCTAATCTGCAGTTATCTGTGCACTTACAGAGCTTTCTTGGAGGCTTTGACCACTGGCAGCAGCCTCAGAAGAACCTCCTCTGAAGCAGAGTATTTCTTCAAGTCAAACAAGTCCAGATCTTTTTCTGATGACACTAAGATGAAGCCCAGAGCTGACCACTGAGCAGGAGACAGTTTATCTGTGGAGAGACTTCCTAAACTTAGGTACTGTTGGATCTGCTCCACTAGAGAACATTCCTTCAGTTCATTCAGACAGTGGAACAGGTTGATGTTTCTCTCTGGAGACAGATTCTCGCTTATCTTCTCTTTGATGTACTTGACTGTTTCTTGATTGGTCTCTGAGCTTTTCTTTTTCAGTAGGTCTCGTAGGAGAGTCTGATTGGTTTGCAGAGAAAGACCCATGAGGAAGCGAAGGAACAAGTCCAGGTGTCCATTTGGACTCTGCAAGGCCTTGTCCACAGCACTCTGGTAGAAATATGTTGGTTTAGGTTTGTCTCTGAATAGTTTAGACCACAAAAAGGTTGGTGGTTCTTCTGCCAGCAGATTGACACCAGATTTGATAAAGGTCAGATGGACATGAAGAGCAGCCAGAAACTCCTGAACGCTTAGATGGACGAAGCAGTACACCTTGTCCTGGTACAGTCCCCTCTCCTCATTAAAGATCTGTGTGAACACTCCTGAGTACACTGAGGCTGCTCTGATATCGATGCCACACTCTGTCAGGTCTGATTCATAGAAGATCAGGTTGCCTTTCTGCAGCTGCTCAAAAGCCAGTTTTCCCAGAGACTTAATCATCTTCCTGCTCTCTGAACTCCAGTGTGGATCTTTCTCAGCTCCTCCATAATACTTGATGTTGTCCAGTTTGGACTGAACCACCAGGAAGTGGATGTACATCTCAGTCAGGGTCTTGGGTAGCTCTCCTCCCTCTCTGGTCTTCAACACCTCCTCCAGAACTGTAGCAGTGATCCAGCAGAAGACTGGGATGTGGCACATGATGTGGAGGCTTCGTGATGTCTTGATGTGGGAGATGATGCTGCTGGCCTGCTCCTCATCTCTGAATCTCTTCCTGAAGTACTCCTCCTTCTGTGGGTCAGTGAACCCTCTGACCTCTGTCACCATGTCAACACACTCAGGAGGGATCTGATTGGCTGCTGCAGGTCGTGTGGTTATCCAGAGGCGAGCAGAGGGAAGCAGGTTCCCCCTGATGAGGTTTGTCAGCAGCACATCCACTGAGGTGGACTCTGTAACATCAGTCAGGACCTCATTGTTGTGGAAGTCCAGAGGAAGTCGACACTCATCCAGACCGTCAAAGATGAACACAACCTGGAACTCTTCAAAGCTGCACATTCCTGCTTCTTTGGTTTCAGGAAAGAAGTGATGAACAAGTTCCACCAAGCTGTACTTTTTCTCTTTCAGCACATTCAGCTCTCTGAAAGTGAATGGAAATGTGAACTGTATGTCCTGGTTGGCTTTGTCTTCAGCCCAGTCCAGAGTGAACTTCTGTGTTAAGACTGTTTTCCCAATGCCAGCCACTCCCTTTGTCATCACTGTTCTGATTGGTTCATCTCTCCCAGATGAGGGTTTAAAGATGTCTGTATATTTAATGGTTATTTCTGGTCTGTCTGGTTTCCTGGATGCTGTTTCAATCTGTCTGACCTCATGTTCATCATTGACCTCTGCAGTCCCTCCCTCTGTGATGTAGAGCTCTGTGTAGATCTGGTTCAGAAGGGTTGGATTTCCTGCTTTGGCAATCCCCTCAAACACACACTGGAACTTCTGCTTTAGTTGAGATTTGAGTTTATGTTGACAAACTGGTGCAAGAGTTCCTGAATGAAAAAAGGACAAAGCAGTCAGTGGATGTTATCTTTAATATCGTTAATATCGTCTTAAACACAGGACAAGAATCATGGGGCAAATAAGAGTTTGCAGCAGTGAGGTAGTACTTTACTCTATCTTTCCTACTCTTAAGGTGCTATTTCTTTGCACTTTTACTGAGCAATCCACTAGAATCTGAAGGCCGGCTGAGCAAGATCAAACAACTGAGTGTGTGTCCCACCCTCTGAAACCAAACTTTTGTCTTGTTAATCCGGAGGGCGATCCAAAGCATTTAACAGAGTACTTGTACTCCTGTTGCACTCTTAAACACAGGACAAGAATTGTGGGGCAAATAAGAGTTTGCAGCAGTGAGGTAATACTTTACTCTATCTTTCCTACTCTTGAGATGCTATTTCTTTGCTCACGGACTGTCTCTCGGACATATCTGCATGGATGAAGCCTCGCCACCTTCAACTAAACCTTTCTAAGACTGAACTCTTGGTCATTCCAGCCAAGCAATCTATTCTATACAAATTGTCTCTTGAACCATCACTCCAACCAAAATGGTGAGAAACTTGGGTGTCATGATTGATGACCAGCTGTCCTTTTCAGACCATGTTGCTGCTGTCTCTCGGTCGTGCCGCTTTGCTCTATACAACATAAGGAAAATCAAGCCCTACCTCACTCAGTACGCCACCCAGCTTCTGGTACAGGCCATGGTTATCTCTCGTCTCGACTATTGCAATGCTCTCCTAGCAGGTCTCCCAGCCTGTGCGGTGAAACCCTTACCAATGGTTCAGAACGCAGCAGCGCGTCTGATTTTTGATCAGCCCAAAAAGATTCATGTCACTCCATTACTCAGTGACCTCCACTGGCTCCCCGTGGCCTCCAGAATCAAATTCAAGTCACTAATGCTGCATACAGAGTGACTACTGGGTCTGCACCATCTACCTAAACTCCATAATACAAACTTACGTTCCTTCTCGGCCGCTACGCTCCTCCAACGAACGCCGCCTGGCTCTGCCATCCCTTCACACAAAGCAATCCCAGTCCCGGCTGTTCTCATCTGTGACACCACGATGGTGGAACGAGCTACCACACGCCATCAGAGCAGGGGCGTCCCTCTCTAACTTCAAGAAGCTCTTGAAAACTCATCTTCCGAGAACACTTCCTCTTATAACACCTCTAACTCCTAACCCTTTAACATGCACTTCCTGTGCTCTTCTTCTTCTATCCCGTACAATTATCTTGTATTGATTGCATATTTTTGTTTTGATTGCACTTTTTGTTAACTCTTACTTCCTTCTTATCTACCCCATTGATGTGATATGTACTGTGAGCTCTTACCAGTATTTATTGCTGCTCTTACTAGTATGTATTGTCAGTTGTAGATCCGTATTTGATGCTCTATTGATGCTTGTATGTTGTTCCTCAAATGTAAGTTGCTTTGGATAAAAGCGTCTGCCAAATGAGTAAATGTAAATAAGTCTGGAAAATCATCTTACTGCTCTGCAGACGGTCAGCCAGCTCCCCCTGCTTCATTCTCCTCAGGAAGTGCATTGTAATCTTCAGAAATGTCTCTTGGCTGCTCCTCCTCTGCTCTTCCTCCTCACCGTCCACCAAATTCTCATCCTTACTATGTCTCTCTAAGTATTCTGGGTAATCTGTACTTAGAACCTTCTGGAAGTTCTTTAACTCGTCCTTCACAAAAGTGAAAATGTTTTCTTCAAGATGCTGGGAAAGAATAACACTTTAAGTTATGTTTTTCATTTAATTTGCAACAGAAGGCAAAATTAAATTGCACATTGATAAACTAGTACAAAAGCTCAAACTAAAAATAGGATTTTATTTTAGAAACAAAGCCTGTTTTTCTTGGAAAACCAGGAGGGGATTGGTTGCTGCAACCTTTCACACTGCACTCGATTATAGTGACCTGCTGTATAGAAATGCGTCTGACCGATGTTTATCTTTGTTGGATACTGTCTACTATAGTGCATTTAGATTTGTGAATGGATGTAAAGTATCTACACACCATTGTACCTTGTACAAAATGACAAACTGGCCCTCATGATCAGTGAGGAGGCCCATACAGTGGCTTACTTTTAAGTCTCTGCTGGATATACTCCCTCTTATCTTTGCACTTGCAACATCAGTTTCTATGATTTGCGCTCTGGTAACTTGTACTAGATGCTATAAATTGTTGTCACTGCTTTTAAAATAACTAAATCCTTTAAACCTATGGTATGTACAAATGGTACTTTTAAGTATTCTAATGTTGTTTGTGTTATGTATCTTAAGAATCTTATTAAATGTCCTTTGTCATTGTGCGTGTGCTTGATTATTTTATTTTGATTATAACATAATCAGTATGAATATGCAACTATTTTGGCCAGGTCTCTCTTTAAAAAGAGGTTTTAAATCTCAATGAGATCATCTGGTTAAATAAAGATTAAATTTAAAAAACATTGTAGGATATTTACAAACCATAAATATTGAGTCCAGGTCTGTGGGGTGATGCTGGTCATACTGACCACCAGGAACTTGCTGGAGTCTGTGGAAAAAACAAAAAGTATGATCCTGATCTTAAAGGGCTGGTCAGCAATTTCTAATCTAAAATGTGTATTTTTGTCAATTTTTTTGAAGGACAGGAGTCGGACAACTCTGCCTCCTCTATTCACGGGTCTCCCAGCGCCTCACCGCTTCCCCCACCCAAGGCCCCGGCGATTGCTGGCCTCGAGGCAGGGGTCGCCCACCTTGTAGCGCACTCTGGTAAGGTCTGCGTCCTACTGTCGGCCACCACTTCTCTGCCATCCATCCTCACCTCGTCAGAGAACTAGAGAGCTTCCTTCCATCATCCAGAGAGCTCCTCAGGATGAAATGGCCGTCGTTCTTGCTCCCAGCCAGCCGGGTAAACGGGATCTCGTCTGGCCGCGTTTACTGCCTATCCGACGGTACCAGGAGAGTGTTGCCATGGATCCGAAGGTTCTGTGGGCTACTGTCTCCACCTACGTCCCGATCACCAAGGTGGAAGGCTTCCCAGACCTGGGATTGCCCCTAATCCCCCCACTACAGCCCAACCTCACCAGCTTCTTCGGTGTGAAGCCAGTTTAGGTGGCAGCTGGACGGCGCCCTCTCATGGTCTAACCCTCCTGTGCATCCGCGGCGTCCTGACAGGCACCAGTGACATTTTGGGGGGTAATTGTGTGTTCATTGCTCATGTTCTGCCAGCACTTTCACTGTTGAGACAAACAGAGCCCTAAAGGTCATGTTCCTTGGCCAGCCCCTGCCTCAGCTGAGTCAGCGGCTGCTGTTCAGCACATTTCCCCCACACTGTATGGACTGGCTGCAGGCTCTAATGTCACAAGCAGTTTACTTTCCCTGTTGCCAACCCCTGCCTCCCTCCCCTCAGTGTGGAACCCCCGGGGACAGGGTCTCCCCCCGTCCCCCTCCCCTCTCTGCCGGAATGGTGGACCCACGAGAGCGACCATGTTACCTCGTGCATGCTCACCACGCAGGGAAGCGCTCCATCCTGCCTGGCGACACATGTAGGTGCCCACAATCCTTCTTCACCCCGCCGGGAGTGGGACTCTCCTGACCCGGCGGCTCACCGCTGTCTGCCAGGCCCCCCCGTGGCCAGTGTCCCGGCCCTTTCAGGGCAGGGGCAGCAGAGTGGCTTCTCAGAGTGGCTTGTTTCCTGTTCTATGGACAGGTGGATGAACTGCCTGATCCACCGGGATCACAGTTTGCAATTCGCCTCTCCCCTTCATCTGGATCGTGGAGACGGTTTTCTCCTCTCTGGCTCAGATTGCCACCCTCCAGGTGGAGCTCCGGGATCTCCTGGAGAAGCAGGCTTACACCAGGGTTCTACTCCCGTTACTTCCTGGTCAGGAAGAAGACCGGTGAAATGAGACCTATTATGGCCTTTTCGCATGTTGACAGCAAAACAGGTGCTGGAGTTTGTGCGTCAGGGAGACTGGCTCAATTCCATTGACCTGAAGGAGGCATACTTTCATGTTCCCGTCATCCCGGTACACAGGACGTTCCTGCTCTCCTCTTCCCTCCCAGAGACTCACCTACCTGGGTGTGATGCTGGATTCCTCTCTAGAGAGCATGGCTCTCTCAGGAGAGGGTGGACACTCTGACGGAGCTTACATGGTGGTCCCCCTGGGCCTCCTGCACATGAGGAGGCAACAGCGGTGGTACATCTGCTTGCGTGTGGACCCGATGAGACAGAAGCGGCGCCTGGTCGTCGTTCCTCTGTCTGTTGGTTCGGATCTAACGTACTGGCGGGACCCCCTCTCTCTGTCGGTTGGGGTACCGCTGGGCAGGGTCACGTCCCATATCTTTGTTTTCAGAAAATCCCTAATGGGCTGGGGCAGAACCTGCCTCTTTTAGGTGGTGGGCGGTCTGAAGCAGGCCCACATGCCTCTCCACATAAACGTGTTGGAGCTCCTTATATTGTGGAAGGTGGTCCAACACCCTTTTGCTGCAGAACCAGCACGCCGGGGGTGGACTTCTTCGCACACCCCTTGTGGCTTCCTCAGCTTTTTTATGCTTTTCCGCCGGTTCGGCCTGGTGGCTCCGGAGGGCACAAGTGCGTCCTGGTCCTGCCTCCAGCGGCTTCTTTGCTCCCCCCTTTTGGTCTGAGGACAAAGCTAGGTCCCACCTCCTCTGCCCAGTGCGCACAATGTCCTGCTAAGAGGCAGCGCTATTCGCAGTGCCTGTTTGTGCACTACAGGGAGCAGTCCAAGGGACTTCCCATGTCAGTGCAGCGCCTGTTTCACTCTCTGTGCAAGGCTATTTCATAGGCCTATGTGTCAGCTCGTGAATCTCCCCCGGACGGCATCAGGGGGCACTCCACAAGAGGCATCTCCTCCTTTGTGGCGTGGCACGTAGAATGTCGGTGACACCAGCACGGCGGCCACCTGGTCTTCCCTGTGCTTGTTCGTCCGGGATCACAACCCAATAGCGATAGCCTTAGTGGGCTGCACCTATACTCATAGAATCTGGAGTTGCAGTACGTAACTATCGTTTCCTAATCCACAACCTAGCTAATGTTAGAGAGGTTTATTTGAATGTAACTATGGGACCATGGTATCAGAGAAACAACTCAAAGAAAACTCAACTATGACTCCTAGGATCTCCTCAATTATGTCAAATATGTTTGTCATGAGTTGTAGTTTTTCCCTGTGAGTTTGAGTTTTTGCCATTTGTTTCTGGTGTCGTTCTGTTTACCTGTTCTTCTCGTTTCCTTGTCCTTAGTGTTTATGTCTTGTCTGGTGTTCTAGCTCATAGTCCTGTGTTGATTTGATATTGCTTTGGTTTGGTAGTCTAGTTGTTATATTGTTTCTTAGTCACTGCCTTAACTGTTGTTCCTGCGTTTTAGTTCATTGTCCTTGTTCCCAGTCCTGTACCTTAGTTCATGTTAAGTGTTCCCTCTGGTCTGTTTTGTGTTCAGTAACCTGTGTTCTGTCTGTTCCCCCGGTTGTCACTCTGCCTGCATGTCAGTCTCTCTGTTTCCCTCTGCTCACTGTCTCTCTCTGCCTGCCTCGTTAGTCTCATGTACTTCACCTGTGTTGCTCCCGCCCTGCTCGTTAGTCCCTGTGTGTATATATGCCTGGTGTTTCTGTCTTGTCTTTGTCGGGTCATTGTATGCTGTCTCCCGGAGTTGCTGTGAGGGCGCCTGCCTGCCTGCCTGCCTGCCTGCCTGCCTGCCTGCCTGCCTGCCTGCCTGCCTGCCTGCCTGCCTGCCTGCCTGCCTGCCTGCCTGCCTGCCGTGTCTGTCGTGTCTGCCGTGTCTGCTGGTCGTGTTACCCTGCTCCCTTTGGATCTCTGTTTGGACTACCTTAGTTTTTGGACTCTGTATTCAGCCACTCACCTGTAAGTGTGCTCGCTTTTGGTTCGTTCATTAAAACCCCTTTGTACTGTACCTCTTCCTGCCTTGCGTTCTGCGATTGGGTCCTCCAACCTGCCTCACCCACACCAAACCGTGACAATGAGAAGCAACCGCATATAACTCATCTGTGTCTTACTCTGCTCAAAACATCTCTAAATTATCTTAAATATGTGTAATTTAAGTGTCCTGAATGTGGATCAGAGAAAAAGATCCTGGATATGTCTCCATTTTGTCTTAGTGACCCCAAAAAAACGGATTGAGCAAGTACCCTCACTATGGAATACTTTTATACCTTTACCTTTTACTTATGGTGTGTTTTAATAGGAACATTGTACTGTATTCAAAGACATTCATTTGTCCAGTGTTTACAGCAGCTGGATGGTGCAGTGGCAGTGTTACCCTTTGAATAGCAGGACCAAATCCTGCTCAGGGATCAAATCCTCCTCAGAGCAACTGTTTCACAGAAATTCTATTACTGTTCATTTTCTTCTCCTAATGAAAGAAACAAGCCATTAACGAGCCATTAATTAATTTTGTTTGTTTCCTGAGCTGTAGAAGAGCAACCACTGAGCCATTCTCATCTGTGAAAACACGATGGTGGAACGAGTTACTACATGCCATCAGAGCAGGGGCGTCCCGCTCTAATAACACGCCTGATTGTACTTAACTCTTTTATATTATATATATATATATATATATATATATATATATATATATATATATATATATATATATATATATATATATATATATATATATATATTATATATATATATATATATATATATATATATATATATATAAATAAAATAATCGCTAACCTCTAACATGCACTTCTTGTGCTCTTCTTCATCTATCTCCTTACAATTCTCTTGTATTGATTGCACTAAGGTTCAGTGTGTAATATTTCAGAGGATCTATCAGAAATGCAATATAAGATCCATACCTATGTTTCCAGTGGTGTATAAAGATCTTGCATCTTGTTTTTATTACCTTAGAAAGCCATTTCTATCTACACACACCGCAGGTCCACTTACATGGAAGACGCCATGTTGCGCTGCCATGTTTCTAGAGTAGCCCATAGCGTTTTTCGTCACTACATTGAATACGTATGAAGGAGAAGAGGAAGAACAAGTAATGTTAGTAGTAGTAGTTGTTGTCGTCTGGTTTATTCGAAGAAATAAGTGAAATTTAGACAAATGGAGGACCACACCTATTATTTAGCTCAGAGCCGAGGAGAGCACCTTTCACAGAGCAAGTCACAAAGTGCTTTACAATGATGAAAAAATCCATAGAAAAATTCTGACGGAAACCAGATTGGAACTTGTGTTTAGGCAGTGAGCGTGTCAGTGAGCTGTTTGGCAACAACTTTCTCTAATAGTTTTGAGATGAGCGGCAGCTTGGAAATAGACCTGTAACTTTTTGACAGGGATGGATCCAGATTGGGTTTTTTTTTTTAGAAGAGGTTGAATTATTGCATGTTTGAAATATTCCTGTTTACAATTGCCTTCTCCTGCTTGCTTACAAAGGGAAGGGTGAGCGGTGACTGATTCATGTGGTGTCGGAATAAACAGAACTTTTTTTTCCTCCTTAAATCTTTATTGCAAGAAGAAAAATAATGCATACAAGGGACATGAAGAAGTATACAGAAGAAC